TGTTGCCCATGCTAGCCTCAAACTCCTGGGCTCAAGCAGTTCTCCCGCCTCGGCCTCCCAAAGTGCTGGGATTACCAGGGTGAGACTCTATACTCACAAATGCTGTTTTTTTTGAAAACTGTGCTTCACTAAAGATCCAGTCTTAGGGATATTGATTCAGGGACCTTTACAGCATCATCATAGTGGCAAAACTCAGGAAGGTCCAGGAATTGTCCATCAGTAGGATAACGGTTGATTATACTATGGCAGAGTCGCACGATGAATTCTGTAGCTACTAAAAACAAGAGTTAGGTATACGTGTATAGATGGTTAAGTGGAAATAGCAAGTTGCAAAGTAACTGTATAGTATGATTCCATCCTGTGTGTATTCTAGTTTGCACCAGCACTGAAAAAGGGTCTCTCACAGGAGGGCAGTTCTACTGGTTACACTTGACAGTTCCCAGGGTAACACTGCCCCCTAGGGGATATCCTAGAGATCCCTCTACAGACAGTCCCTGAGTTGTCAGTTCTAAGATTTTTCAACTTCATTACGATAGGTTTACCAGGATGTAACTCCATCGTAAGTCAAGGAGCATCTGTATTTGAAATACATTTCATTACAAATTATTTTCCTGAACACTCTAATGCAACAGCTGTTATCAAGGTCTCCAGGGACCAGACCCTTGCCAAACTCAACTGTCAATTCTCTTTCCTCATCTTCTTCAACTCGGGGACATGTGACACAGCTAATCCCTCTCTCTCTCCATCTTGAAATATCTTTTTCAGGCCGGGCGTAGTGGTTCGCGCCTGTAATCCCAACAATTTGGGAGGCCGAGGCGGGTGGACCACTTGAGGTCAGGAGTTTGAGACCAACCTGACCACCACGGTGAAACCACGTCTCTACTAAAAATACAAAAATTAGCCAGGCATGGTGGTGCGCACCTGTAATCACAGCTACTCAAGAGGTTGAGGCAGGAGGATCGCTTGAACTCGGGAGGCTAAGGTTGCAGTGAGCCGAGATCACGCAACTGCACTCCAGCCTGGGCGACAGAGCAAGACCTTGTCTCAGAAAAAAACAAAAACAAAAACCAATAAAAGTCCTTGGCCGGGCGCGGTGGCTCACGCCTCTAATCAGGAGTTCAAGACCAGCCTGGCCAAGAGGGTGAGACCCCATCTCTACTAAAAAAAAAAAAAAAAAGGACAAAAAACCAAACTACAAAAATAAGCGTGGCGCGGTGACCGGCGCCTATAATCCCAGCTACTCGCGAGGCTGACGTAGGAGAACCACTTGAACCTGGGAGGCGGAGGTTACAGTGAGCCAAAATCGAGCCATTGCACTCCAGCCTGGGCGACAGAGTGAGACTCCGTCTCAAAAAAATAAAATAAAATAAAATAAAAATAAAAAATAAAAGTCCTTAACACGGCCCACGAGGCTCCATGGAATCTGGCCCCAGCCTGTCCACTCAACTTCATCTATTACAATCTGGGCACTCAAAATATGGTCTGCGGATCGGCAGCATGGAAGTCACCTGGGAGCGAGTTAGCACTGCAGCTTCTCAGACCTCCCTCTTCATCTGCTGGATCAGAACCTGAACTTTTTAGTTTGAGCAGAGCGTCTCCCAAGCTTACAAGCTTCCCCTTCACCCTGATTTAGCCATAAGGGTATTTCATATTCCTCACTTGCCGTTCTTGGGAGCTGACCAGAAGTACTTGCAACGCGCGCAGCTACAGGCAAATACGCACCGACGCTTGCGCAGGCGCACTGCCCCCCGTCGGAGCGCTCCTATTTGAGTACGCGTGCGCTCAGAGTACCGGCGAAGGAGGCAAGGCCTATTTGCCGGGCTGTCCCAGCTAGGGGTGGCCAGGACCTGAAAGGAGGAGAGGGGTTTCCGCTTCCGGCAGGAGTCGGAAGTCACTGTCTCCCGGGTGAAGGGAGCTTTCGCAGCTAGAGAAGGTGAGTGCCGGTGCGGCTCGTGCGAGTGGGCGTTGGGGCCGGGCAGGACTGGGAGTTCCTCGACTCCGT